CTAACCTGTGCACACAGAAAACATGGCGGTGCGGACGAGAGGGTTAAGCGGAAAATGCATCAAACATATTCAGTGTATACTGTATAACTGGCGACAACCATGGACTGGTGGGTCAAACGAATGCGACTGTGGATTGACGTTGAACACAAGAATCAAAGAATGATGGAAGAAGAAGAAGAAGACATGGGAGACTTGTTTGGACAGAGGAGCACATGGCCAGCAGGACAGACGACTATAAAAAGGGTCTTTGTGAGGTCCAACCTGCCCTGAGGTCCTGTTGCTATGGTCCAACCCACATCCCATCACGCTGTCAACATGAGGACGTTCGCTCATTAGCTCAGTAAAGTGATTGTGTGTGTGTGTGTGTGAGTGTGTGCGTTCACATGCGCGCGTCAGCGTGTGCAGGTGGTGACACATGGTTTGTGTATTTTTTAATTTTACTTTAATTTTAATTTTAATTAAATATGGCTCACAAGACTAACTTTGACGGGTAAATCAAATTGTGAGCCGAACATCTCTGCCATGCAGGCTTCTCCTCTCAGCCACAGCGTCAGCTCCTGTTGTTGTTCCTCCTCCCTGCAACAGGCTGAACAAGGAACACGGCTGCTGACAACCACCTATAATCAGCCAAAATGTGAAGCAGTTAGAGGCCTGTTTCTGTGGCCATATTATTAGCTTGTGGGCTAATAGGAGATACGGTGCTTTTTGATTTTCTCCGCTCTTAAAAGAAGCTATGACAAAGGCGATGCAGTTGCAGAGACTGAGTGATTCTTTAAAGGACAAATAACACCAGATAACAGATATTGTTCCATGCAGTACTTCAATTAAGTCCCTTTATTTAAAAAAAGAAAAGGCTTTAAGAAGTCAAATCAACAGGTTTAGGAGTCTGGGAACAGCTGGAAAAAACCTCGACAGAGACCAGTTAGACAAATGGTACGTTTATACACACACACACACACACACACACACACACACACACACACACACACACACACACACCAGTTGAATTGGAAACTAACGTGGGGAATAAAGCACAGCAGTGGTGTAGATAAATGAAATGTAACCACCTAAAAGGCTCTTTTAAGGCAACAGAACATCTGCCTGCAGCCACAGTGGGATTTGTGAGAGCTTATTGTCTTATTGTTAATTAAGTCTGAATACCAAACAGAGAGATGTGTTCAGAAATTCATGGTACAGGGCCAGAAGGGTGACGGGGTAGAAATTGAAGAAAGACAGAAATTGTTGCGTGTCAATCTGATGCTGCACCAAATAGAATAAACACAAATTCAAGGGGGGGGGGGGGGGGGGGTATTGTGTTGATTGTCAACACTGTGACAGACATCCGTAAGTCTCAACACACTCGCCAACCACTGAGTATCGCCTTTATAAGGTGCACTGTGCAAGATCTGACCAGGATTTTAGATGGTGAGTCACTGTAGCGTCCAGTCTGCCTCAGTCCAGAGGGACGAAGAAGTAGAGCCGCACAGAGGGTTTGAAGCTAACTTTACATTGTGGACAAGCAGTGAAATTACACACATAACACAGTGCAACTCAATGAACAAATTTCTATATTTGCTGCGAGGGATTCTGATGAATGGATGAATGCACCCATCCCAACCTCCAACCTCCCTCTGTCTGCAAGCTCTACTGAGGGATGCAAACAGGAAGTGCATTGTTTCCATGGATCTAGCTAGTGAGCTATGGCTACAACTTCAACCCTATATATTTTTTACTCTATTTATTTACATTTTGACAAAAGTGGCACGACTGACATATTTAAATCCATGTCTGTCCAAACTGTCATCGCTTCATCATTTTATCCTCTTTAGACATTTCTGTGAAATTGTCATAATTAGCACATGAATTATTGAGCTTTGGACAGAAATGTGTTTCGTGACTTCACAGTGACCTTTGACCACTAATTTCATCCGTTCATCTTTCAGTCCGTGTGGACGTTTGTGCCAGATTTGAAGAAATCCCCTCCAGGCATTCCTGAGATATAAAGGATGCACAGATGCCGACCAGACAAGGCAAAGAGAGAAACACTGAACTGAGAGGGAACATGAGATCCTGCTTCAATAGATTACAACAATAAATGGAAACGATGAGGAAAGGAGAATAAGCATCTGCATGTCACTGCATGCATGATACACAATGTCAGGAATAAATAAATCTTATTTCCGATATTCACACTTTTCAAATGTGCATTGGCCAAAAGGTGACTGAGGAGCCAAGGACAAATACATTTTTTTCGGAGTGTGTAGCCCAATACTGGTCTGACACCTCCTTCCACTTTAAGAGGAATGTTCTTCCCGCTGACAGAAGACCACAGACAAACTCTCACTTCCTGGCCCTTTAACCTTCTAAACTCTGTTAGCTGTTAGAGGATAGTCAAGAGGCCATTGCTGATGGGGTGTATTTGAATGCGGTTGTATGACTGATGAAGCTACTCATCAATTATTAGTGTGTGTCGTGCAGCATGTTCTTCTGTATATTTGTTTGTGTTTTCACCTGGGCAGATACGTCACATTTAGCACAAAGGTGCATTTAAGTATGAACAAAGTTAGCACCAGACAAGTAGAATCTGTCAGCTCTACATTAAAAAGGGGGCTGGGGACTCGAAGAGAAAGAAGTTGGACTGAAGTGAAGATCCTCGGGTCAAACTGAAGAAAACAAATATCACCAGCTGTCTCAGTCACAGATGTCCTCCTGCAGCGCCTATTTAAAGGCGCTGGCTCGGTACAGACCGGCTGCAATATCTTCTCACTCTATTGTGATCATCAGTTTAAGATCCCCAAAGGCAGAGTGAGTTCATATGAACAGTATAATATGAACAGCGATATTTAATAGCAAGTATTCCTAAATGAGTTGCACTTAAATGCTAAACATAGCAAGATGCACACACACACACACACACACACACACACACCACGTGGTGTCATTCAGTGCTTCATAGGAAGGGATTGAGTGGCTCTTACGGATCTTTATTGGTGTTCTCTCTCTACTCCCCGTCAGTGTGACCTCATTGTGCTCAGCTGGCCCGCTAACCTCAGACACCCCAGCCCTAAACCCCTTTCCACTCCAGCCAGAGCTCCACCAGCCAATGATCTGCTTTGATTGCCCAGCTCACGCTGTCCAGCCATCTGGACAGACGCCTGAGAGGAGGCAGAGGTATTTGAGGTGAGAAAGGCGGCAGCAGCCCGTGTACGTGAAAAGGAAACTGTGCAGCTTTGAGGTTCTTTCATGTGTGAGGCTGGATCTGCTGTCGGTTCAAGTGCATCGCAGCCTTTCGTATATTGTACAGTTGGCGCGAAGCAGACCGGTTGTGCTCTGGCCAAATAAACTGCCGCGATATTTAAAAGTGAATGTCAGAATGAAAGCTGGCTACATTGAGCAAACTGCAACATGTCAATCCACCTCCATGTCTAGTGTGCAATGTATAACCTTTTGTTACTAGGGCTGTCCTATTCTTAGTCAACTAAATATTGTGTCCACTAATCGATAAGTTGATTTAAACGCCCTTCATATCATAAAGTTTAGAGATGTGTACATATATCGTTCTTGGAAATAAATCATTCGGCATGAAAAACATTTTAAAAAATGACGAATCAACTAAAGAAAATCTTACTCTACCGATTAGAGTAGTCAACTAATCAACTGAGAGGGGGCAGCCCTATTTGTAACCTGCATGGTTTTGCATACTGCGTACAGTATACTATAAATGAGTATCTGTTAAGGTACTATAATAAACACAGAGCACACGGAGGTGAAACAGCCACCACTTATTTGTCTGTGTGCATGAAGCAACAGCTGAGCTCCATTGTGTTCACACCTTTCTCTATCAGTCAAGACAATCTACTGCAGTGATTTTGATCAGGACCGCTGTGTGCATGCATGCATCCCCAAATGTGTTAATTTGATGTTCTGCCCGAGGAACTACAGATAGCATGCACTTAAAATGACTGCTGACCGTTTTATAAATCACAAGTGTTTTGATGATTTCCTGTCTTCCAGGCACCAATCTTCAACTGATATATCAACTTGCAGAGTCGTTACGCTCGCTTGCGATAAGCCTTTAAAAAAAGGCCAAAAAAAAAAAAAAGAGCGTCCTTGAATGCACCACGAAGAGAGTCGATAAACAGTACTTGCTGAGGAATGCATTACCTCATGAAGATGTTTTAATTAGGCAAAAAACAACATCTGTTCAATGTCACAGATTACTCTCTCCAACATGTTGATTTTCATTTTTTGTCATTGGCATGAATGAAGAACGAAGCGCTGCCAACCAATGGTTTGCTTTTAAAAAAAAAAAAGAGTAGGTGCCAATGGTATAAAGTTCACAGGATCTTTTCCCTCAGCAGCTCAACTTTCTGCTTCCTGTTCTTTCCCCCAGTTTGGAGCTAGAGACATAAAAAAGCTGCAGGAAAACATCTGTCATTATTTTCAAAATGTCACACAGTCGCTTTTCACACCTCACACAGAAACTTTAAGACCAGAATAATACGTTCTATATGACACTATAGTGAAGTGTCACGCTTTATGTTATTTAAAGCAGTTCCGTCTTTCTTATCTGCCTTATCTGCAACGCTGACAACCCCGCTGAGCTTCGCTTTTTTTAACTTCTTGATGTTGAATTTTGGCATTTCTGAATTTGCGCAGGCACGGAGGACTTACAGTAGGAGTCTCGGTGTGTATTTATTCGTCTAGGGTGCATCCAGGGTGTCGACTACAGAGAACCAGTGGGTGACACTATATATTCTGAGCCCTGGAGGGAGTGTTAAATTTAACATGCGTTAACGCTGACATAGCCTGAAGCTCAAGTAAGTGGCAGCAGGAATGCCAGCTTGCTGGAGTGGAGCCACTTTCAGAGCCAGAAAAGCCCTGAGCAGAGACAACCAGCGAGCCGGTTTGTCACAGTGCAGCGGTCTCTCTGTAATAACACATCAACGCAGGATAGTGTTAGTCCACCTGTAAAAACAGACGTTGGTTCGAAGCCTGACCTGCAACCCTTTACGCTGCCACCAGGCTTCAGAAGTCGGATGGTCGGATAGCTTCGGAGACCTCTCAACCTTTCCAATACTGGAATTGAAAGAGGGAAAACGATTAATCAATTACCAAAATAGACTCCAAATCTTTGTTGTATCTTCCTTTGATTACAAAAACAGCAACCAAAAAAGATGGATTACTCTCAATCTGAGTGTTCGCCTCTCGGCTGCGTATTTTCACAAACTGCCCCGATCCTCTGGATCCTCTGAAGCAGGACAACTCTCACTGACACGCAGGCTTCTGTGCGGCTCAGCCAGATACAAGCCCCGCCACGAAACCACCCGACACCTGAATCAACGATCGCATCACTCCTTTGGCCGTCTTCGTTTCCACATTTGAAACGGAACAAACAAGAAACAAGCTGTTCTGCCAAACTTCTCCAGTAACTTCAGTGTAAAAGTTTGTTTTTGAAGAAATCCACGTCCCAAACCTTCCCCACACATCAGTGACTCATCCGTTTGCTTCAAATTCATGTCCTATAATTGTCAGCTCACAGCCCTCAATTAAAAGAACAAAAAGGGCTTTTGACGTACTGTATAATAAACTACCAACAGAGAAGCTGCTCTATCTGAACAGCACATCCCGGGATGACAGACAGACCGCAGGAGGCTTTAAGCGGACTGGTCAGAAAGAAAAAAACGCTTTCCAAAATAATCACCAGAAAAGAAGCTTAACCTACATGCAGCATGAATTGGAAACAGAGAACATGCAACAGATCCGATAGGATCTCTGGGTCCATGTGTCCACTGAGGGCATGTGGGGTAATAGTCACAACGCCTCGTCCCCTTTCTCCTGTGAGCCAACCCCCGTACGGTGGGGAGCTCTATAATCTGCTCACACAGACCTTCGGGCAACATCGTGGTTTCAAACACCAACTGCTGTGTCACTTCTTTCAACATGCATGCAGCATGACTGGACGTTTCTGCCTGCTTTCTGTCTCTCAGGCATGTGAAAACCACGGTTAGACAATCTACCTTATCGGCTGATATGAATGCCCAAATTGACCCTTTCATTCATCTGATCAGCGGTGTTGGATGATGGATGATAAAAACTGAAAATAGTCTGTATATGAATATATTATTATCCGTGGGAAACTCTTGTTATTTTTTTGGCTTGATATACAGAGTACATGTATATATATGGTATGCATTGTCTACAGTGCTCAATATGCATAATGTACAGAACTCATTTAAACAACCACATTATTAATTATAAAAACTAATTTTCAATTACAGCAGATTCTTTAAGCTAGAAAGGGAATGGTTGAAGAAAAAAGCTTATAGCTATAGATGTGTTTTTGACTTTTTATGCCCCAGACAGGACTCTGGCGACAGTCAATGAGGAGTTGTGTTGAGGCCCCAGATGAGGGTGTTTACATATTTCTGTGTCAGGGCATGTGAGGAGGCCCAACCTTAAAGCCCCCTGGACTCACAGAATGCAGAGAGTGGATTTTTCAGAAGCTACTGCTTCATTTAAATTCAATTAAATAAAAAACGCAGGAGGAAATGAAACTCTGAGGTAAATCTCAGAAAATGGTATTTTATCATTACTGGCCCAGGATTGGAAGTAAGCAGGCACATACAGGGATGAGACCGGGGATTCTATACTACATACGTGTTCATTACGTGTACATTTTACATTTTAAATCACCTTTATTGGCCAAGTATGTGTATTTTTTTTTTTTTTTATCTCAAAAACTAGGCACAAGGACGACAAAGCTGGACAATAAAGGTAACGACAGGACTGTTATGTTCCCAAAAAGACAAGTATACATATTATTCAAGTATTAAAAAGCACAAAAGACCAATAATAAAATAACAATAAACACCGATATGGATTGGATGATTATGTACAGTATGTGCAGGTGTACATGTCTATACACTGGAACGTTTGTAAAGACAGGCCATAGCTGAAACCTGGAGTCCAAATCAAGATGCTCCTGATTGAATCAACAGCGCTGCTCTCACAGTGGTGCTGTTTAAAGGCTGAACGAACTCCGACTCAAATAGCTGTATGATGACTATATGATGAATGCCTGCATTCATCGCCGCCTGTTTTTGAGTTTGAATAAAATGTGTTTTACGACGGCTTATTGGTGTAGACGGGGGTTTAGCCAGTTGTGGGCTGTATTTTTTTAAATATTTTTTCATTTAATCGCACAATACTGCTCAATGCAGACACACCTGCCAGAGATCTGCACTCTACTGATTGCACCTTTTCTAGTTTTAGTTCCCTACTGTTGCTTTATATTCAAACGAGCTGTATTCAACATTGTGAACATTATTATTGCAGGAAACAACTATTTGCTATTTAAAGATAAAGTTGAGTAATGTCTACCTGAGCTGACAATTACTCCCTCTGGGTGTGTGTGTGTTGTTATTGGAGCTTCTCTTTTATTTGTTGACATAGCCGGGCCGGCCGTGCATGCTTTGAATGCATGTGAGTGTATGTGAGTGCATGTGAGCACACTCCACTGGTTAGCTCCAGGCCGCCGCTCTGCACCGCTCTCATAAGGCGGCTGCAGCTGATAAAGCCCCTTTAATGTAATACCTTGCTGCTTCTCTAAAGTTCAACTCTCCCCTTTCACTGTGGCACTCTTCTCCTCTCCTTCCTCCATCAGCGCTTCTTGTAAACACCGATGCAGGCAACTTTTGAGAGCTCTGCCCTTTGATCTTCCCAGCTTGTCATGTGTCAGAGGTCAGATAGCTGCATTTTCTCACCTACCAGTCACCAGAGCTTTGGTTGTATATATAGCCGATAAGCTCCCAAGCACATCACTCAAGGGATTACTTCCTCTTTGATCAAAGCACAGACACTCAAGGTAGCTAGTTATTACCACAGTATTGCATTTTTTTTATTCACTTTTCAGGAACAGAGGCTTCTGGGCTGCAACTGGATTGCTTCAATAAACTTTATTGTGCCAAGATGTTGGGAGAAAACCAGCTCAATCCTCAGGGCTCACAGAGCTTTGCTTTTATTCATCTTTACTGAAATATTGACCGTAAACTCACGTCAAGAAGCACAGCCTGGAGCCAGCCAATGACCGGCCTGCGAGCTCTCCTGACCAATGAAAGGAGGGCGCACTAACATTTGCAAACCAACACGGGCTCTGTTTGCAGTTTGACACAGTTATGTATGAGGACTGAGCTTGTTTGACAAGAGCTGCGTACGCAATGCCATGTGAGCTCTGCAGGGAACCAACGAGAACATGCGGGAGACGTATGCAGTGTCCAGACCCCTCAGCGGTTCCCACCGTTACTTGAATCTCCTCCCTGCCGTCAACAGATCGTTGTTGGAGGCCACAGAGTATCTCCCTCCACATCCCCAGGAGTCCAAAAGAGCCGGTGTCGACATCATGACCGCCGCCAGACACGTGCCCGTCAACAAACCCAATGCTGAGACCAGGTTTGAGCTCAGGGTTTGGGCTTGTGGGATTGCAAAATGCTAACACTCCCCCCACGTGGTTGTCCCTGATCTCTGCAGCTTTACGCGCAACGTCTCAGGTGAAAGTGTGAGATCTTAGATGCTAATCCTGGGGCCTAGCTAGCAGTCGATCACTTATTATCACATACCTCAACATAGGAATGGCTTGTGTGTCCATTCAATAGCCACACTCTAGATAACACCCCCCCGACCATGGTTTTTCTACCCAGTGTCCCACACACAGAGTCCTCATCAACGTCACACTGTTGCTATGTTGCATTGCTGGTGCTGTGTGTGACGGAGTTGCTGATGACGGAACAACAAGGCAGAGCTCTCGTCTCTGCCACATTAAAACAAAGGCATCAGCCGCGCAGTGCTGTATGCATGGTAGCGTCTGGGTGATTGTGGTAGTGGCACAGGGATAATCTGGATAAGCTGAGCATGCAGACTAAAGTGCCACAGCCCCCCCCCCTCACCCCTCTCACCCTGCATGAGATGATTCCCTAAATCACGGCACATTCATGTGAAAACTATGCATCTCTATACGGCAGGCTGATGTCGGGTAACCCATCATGAAAATGCTCCCTAAACTTGCCTGCCTCCTCAATGCTCGTATGGTCACCAGCCCGAAAGAGTTGTGCACTCCTAATGGAAAATCGGTGAATGCAGGCAATAGAATATAATACAAGAGGGAGAAGAAGCACAGAATGGAAGGGAGGGAATTCAATCATCGGCAGCCAGGAGAGATAGGCATTGAAATAAAGTTATCTTATATTGAGGAGAGTTGAAGACTTTCAAAAGAAGCTTTAGTGGAAAGGAAATGATATTTTCCGTAACATAAAAGAGAACAATACAAACACTCCAATGTTCTATTTATAATCCACAAGGTATATGTGGTGCCTCGTGGCTTCGCTGGGAGCAAAACAAAGAGCAGTGAGAATGGAAAACGTGTTTTAAATGGATGGACGAGCAGTGGTGATGATAAACAATGTATTTGCAAAAACATGCAACAACATGCAAACCCAGAAACCAGTGTGAAACCATTACATGCGCAAAAAGAAACACATCATAAGTATACAAAGCTTCATAAGTCCAAATAAGCAGTCAGACAACCAAATGATCATGTCAATGTAAGGAGGTCCTCAGTCAGCCCAAATGACGAGTGACGACCACTCATGACAATCAGATATTTCTCAAATGAAATGAGTCAACAACCAAGATTACTTCATTTTGTCTCTAATTATAATCTCTATTGTTGACCATAAAATGAGAGTTTGTTATCGTTACTGCATCCTTGACTTCACCATAGACCACTCTTTGACCTTTGTTATAGAGCCTGTAAGTTGACACTTAAACTCATTTGCATTCAGACAAAACAGAAAAAAAAATGGAAGTACATCTTTATCTTTGACAAATCAACATCTGGCATCAGCATGGCTGCAATCCATCTACAATACGCTGAAAGTGAATCGTATGATGAACGGCTACTTATTTCATTCTTACAAATAAAGAGAGTTTTGTGGGTATTTTTAGCTGTGGGAGTGGCAGCCGGATATGTGGTGCACGAGCTCATCTGAGAGCCTTGTTAACCAGACGCTGCCGCCGGCACAGATGAGCTCACGGAATCAATACGGGAGAACAACTCCGCACATCCAAACACTGACTTTTTGCATTATATTGCGCCACTAACGAGCAAGGACGAGACCGATGGAGAGCGTTTACTACCCGACGGTGTTGGTTTGTAAAAAGATCATCACGGCAAAAAGAAGGGAGGAAAACGCAGCAAAAGTCAAACACACTTCTAAAATAACAATACAGAGAGGAACAAGGGAACTGCTCGACACATACAGTATTTGTGTTTAATCATCGAGCTCTATTTCCACTCTAATCCAGCACACTGTAATCCAAAATACAACCACAAATAAATGAAATAATTAAGATGTTTTTTTTGTTCCCCTTTGTATGTCATTTTTTTTTATCAAATGCTCCTTACAATAATCTCACACAGATGTTAGCTCTTTCCCCAGACACAAGGGAGCATCCATGACCTAAATCTAGTCGGCAGGCAGACGGGTCACACACACTCACACACACACACACACACACACACACATTCAAACGGTCATGAGTAATCGCAGCACAAACAACTGAGCTAAATTGTTTATGTTTGTCCCTTCCGTGTGCATACATGTGCTACTTCTGCGTTGCCAGTGCAGATGCATAAGGTGACATTATCTCATTTGCCGACAGCATGTTTTTTTTTTGTTTTTAGTATCTCAGCGTGTTTGTATTCCTCTCCCAGCTAATAAAGGTGTTCATTGGTCTATGGGCTGCCCATTGGTTTCCCAATCCGTACACCTGGTAATGGGCTTGAACAGCAACCTCGCATGCTGCTCAATTAAGACACGAGTGTCTTCTGTGCAGACCCTTCGGCCACAAAACTGTTCTCCGCTGCGAAAAAAAGCAGCACAATCACTGAGCTTATCTGCATCCAGTACGCTTCAGCCTGACCGATGCGTCATATTATCGACCAGAGATATCTATGTGTACGCCAGCCAATAACCAACGAGAAACTGCAGCACTGAAAAGTGAAATACATGGTGGAGGTCATTTCATTCAATAAGTGATCTTAAAAATGCTACGATTTACGATTAACTTTGTCTATGGCACCAATGTCTGTGATGCATAATAAACATACTTACAATACGTTATTATCTGCTGTATGTTTACGGTTGCAAGCACATAAATAGTCACAAAGATTTATAATAATAAACATAACACATTATATAAAGACCTAAAGGTCTGACACACAACTCTTTTTTGCAGGAATCATAGTGTATTATTGCTACAATACGTAATAATATTTTTCATAATGCATAAAACATGTTCAGCAACGTGGAGAGAACTGGCATTTTTGTGGGCTCATTCCAAAAGGCAACTCATAACCAGTCACATAGTTTGCACTGTGCATATTGTGTACGTGTAACTTCATAATAAGACAGTAGTGTCTTTGCTTTAAATAGCAGCACTCCAAACTTGGTCATGTAAAGGAGTTTTCCGTGGCGTTACGTCAAGTACTATTGAATTAACAGTATCACAATCGTAATCCATTTCAAGAGCTTATAGTTGAAGTTCTTTTCCGGTCACTAAGCCTGAGCTGCCATCAGAAAAATAAAACGTTCTTTCCAGCTGTCAATGTACAGTATACGGTCCGAGAAGACACTTTCAACTCGGTTCTTTTTCACGGTGTCAGTGTTACTGTATATGCCCCCTCTCCAACTTGACACACGCTGTCAGATGGCAGTGTCGCTTAATACGGCTTGCTTGGTCACTTCATGGGTGATAAAATACTCTGCCTTCAGAAGTAGGCCAGCAGGTCTGGCTGTATGAGGTCGCGACCCACCTTGGGAACAGTGTGGGTGTGAAAAGAGGAAATAAACTGCCCACACTCTGCAAAAAGAGTTTAAAAAAAGAATAACTTTGGTGCCACACAGAGAGGTATAACTATCGCGGAAGTATAAATATGAAAAAAGGATTTTTCTACAGGCATGTTATTATTCTACACCACTGTCGTATAAACAGTTTGGACCTTGTTGCATATTGACGCCTCCTTTGTGAATCACACTGGACACTCTCTCTAACAATATGTCTTGCACATCTGCACCAAACCACGGAAGCCATAATGGGACATTTTTAT